AGCGCTTGATAAAGTTAATAGTTAATGAAGTAAAGGTTGAATTACTGCCAGAGTGTGAGATTGAAAGTACTTTCGAATTGGACTTGGTCTATAGAAATGTACTTTTTAGGTCTGCATCAAATTCCAATCCTGCAATATTGTTAGCTCCTAATTACAAAAAAAATGTTTATAAAGTAAGTAAATTTATTTCATTTAATATTGGCTCAAGGACAGTTACAGACAGCCCAAACATTGACCAAGTACAACACTGCCTCAATGCAACACGAAACCGCAGTGAATCAAGGCACGACAACCAAATCTTATTCGACAGCCACAACCCAAAAGGCGAATCCATGCCTGCAAATGCGGTTGATATTTCTACTAACCCAAACATCACATTTACTTTGCACTTAGATGATTATTACGATGTAGTAAAACAACAAGAGTCCATACACAAAAGTGCAACTCTAAAGGTACTTAGCACACAATACATGATAATCAAAAACTCCAAAGACGGCTTAGAATATTTCGAAGTGTCAAAAAAACACACACGCTGAAGCTTGGGGGAAAAAAAAAACGTTTAATTATAAAACAAAAGAGCTAACCTTTTTTTTTTTTTTTCATGTTAATTTATACAGTTTGCATAATAAAAGGCGTTTCAAAGTCTTGTTTGCTAAATTGTCGTTTCAGTTTTAACGGACATACGAACACTGCTTTTTCTTCGATCAAAATCCTTGACAACTTTTCAGTTACGTTGTCAGCACCTTCGGCATTTACATATTCAAGTAATGTAGTTCAATATTCCATAAAATTTTTCGCTAGTCATGGTCTTGGTTGTTGGAATATACAAATGATCAGATTCAACGAAACACAACGAACCTTCAATGCAAGTTGACACTAAATAAAGCAAGGCCACTATTTTGTTAGATTTTGGGTTACCAAAAACCAAAGTGCCGTCAAAAACCAAATATGGGTAGTGTGGGGTCACAAACCAAGTTTTTTCAGATTCATTGTCTGATTGTGTGTTTATTTCTAAGTTGTTGTCAACGGTCGTAATGGTATTTGACAATTGAATTGGCCAGTTTTCGTTTTTTTCATCATCCAGAACGTTCAACACTAAAGTAACTTTGTGTGCCAAATTTTCGACCACTTTGATCAATGACTCTTTTAAGTCTGTAACACGTAGGTTCGTCTTCAACCTTCCAAGTTCAGAAGACAAAAACGCTACGTCCTTGGCAATGTTTGCCATTTTAGTCGAAAGCACCTTTGCATTTTCGAAAAACGTCGAATAACTTTTCTTTTTCGAAAACAGGCCAATCTCATACATAGTCTTAAAGGTTCCATCGTTGGATACAACATGACAAGTTTCATTACATGCGTTGCAATGTGAAAAAGAAGAACCTATGAACCCTTGGCAAATGTAGTTTTTTATGGACCTTGAAAAATTCTTGCACATAACAGCTAAAACCAAAGAATTAAAAATGCTTTCAGTTTTAACTGTCAAATTAGAGTTTTTTTCAACTTCCATTGATTTCTTGTTGATGGTGCATTGCGACACAAAATCGCAAAAGCCAGTTGCTTCTTCAAAGTCTGCACCTTCATAAATAGTAACCACTAATCCGACATAAGAGTTCTCAATATGCTTATCTAAAGCGCCAGTTAGTATCTGTTTTTGCACTTTAATTACTGGAGGATCATTATTGATTAATGTAACTGTTTTTTTATTTGTTTTATTTTTTGTTGTTTTAATTGATTT